ATACGAATTCTTTCAATCTTATTTAAAATTAAAATCTCTCCATTTTTATTAAATATAAAAATATTGATTGCACCTTTTTAATTCATTTCGACCATGAAATCAGCCAACGATATAACCAATCATGCAATCACATACTCATATTCCTCCGAACTCACTCTCTCTCTACCTCCCTCCCTTCTGCACTTCATTTACCCCCCATTTCTGGAATCTACCATTGGAAAACTGTCCACAATATTGAAATTTATGAGAATTGCATTAGAAATCCAAGTCACACAGATACACACACATACATACGTCCATTTGAAACTAACCTTGTTTAAATGACAGGACATTGGAAATATTGAACAAATCGAATTGTCTCTATATGTCGTTTGCTCTGTCACTCCTCACTCACTCTGTCATGCATATATGGTAATTATAGATGTATAAAAGCGCACTTTTTTCTAATTAAGGAAATCTTAAACTCATTAAATGTAACAACATGCAAAATGAAACCAGGATAACTGTACAATTTTCAATGACAAATGGGAGTAGAAGGATGTGATTTTAATGATTTTAAAAATAATTTTTAGGATCTATATAACGTGTGGATTTTTTAAAAAATATTTTTAAGGGCTTATAACAAGGCTAGGATTTTTTAAACACCAATAACTAGGCTTAGATTTATTAAAAAATATTTTTAAGATCCTACAACGACCCTACAGTACAGTATTGATTTTTTAAAAAAATATTTTTAATGCCCTACAACAAGTCATAAATTTTTTAAAAATATTTTAAATTGAAAATTCAAAATTCATAGATTTCTATGGTGAGAAAATATATTTTTTAAAAGTTTCTTTAAAAATCATTACGAAGCATTTAATTATCGTATTTGAATCTAATAGAGGAATGTTACCGGAAAGCCTTGGCTTTCATTTGCCACAAAATTTGTTAAAATATTCCCACAATTATAAGAGTTATGCGATTTTTACCAAAACTTCCCATAATTAATATTAGTTATACGCCCTCTGGGCCATATAATGAAAATGGCATATTTTCATGATTTTCCAACAGAATGAGATTTTAAAAATAATTTTTAGGATTTATAAAAGGTGTGGATTTTTTAAAAATAGTTTTAAAAGGCCTATAATAAGGCGTAGATTTATTAAAAATCTGCTTAAGGCCTTACAACAAGTCATTAATTTTTTAACAGTATTTTTAGGGTCCCACTACAAGTCATACATTTTTCAAAAATATTTTTAGGGTACAACAAGAAGTCATGAATTTTTTAAAAATCTTTTTAAGGTCCCACAACAAGTCATGAAGTTTTTAAAACATTTTAAATTGAATGCTCAAAATTCATATATTTTTATTTTGAGAAAAAAATATTTTTCAAAAGTTTCTTCAAAAATCTTTATGAAGCATGTAATTATCGTATTGGTAGCTAAAAGAGGATTGTTTTTGGGAAGTCTTGGCTCTCATTTGCCACTCGATTTACTAAAATATTCCCACAATTATAAGAGTTATACAATTTTTACCAAAAATTCCCATAATTAATATTAGTCATACGCCCTCTAGGCCATATAATGAATATTTCATATTTTCATGATTTTCCAATGGAATTTAAAAATTTTTAGAATTATTTTTAAATGCTTCATGACCAATTCTTTAAAAAAATAACCCAAGGATATTTTCAGATCTTTGATAAACCCAATTTTCCACACATTTTCACATTAATCTGTTATCCCAGAATTATCCCCCTTAGGCTAATGGCCGAAAGCAAGATTTGCAAATAAAAATATTGGCCACTCATTTCAATTTTGTATTAATGTGTTGGTAAATATAATTTTGTCTTCAACATCTCTCCTCATTTCGAGAAGAAAATGAAGAGCAAAAGAAGAGCAGAAAAAAAACAAACTAATTTAATTCTTTTCCATCATCATGTCTATTTGATCCCACAGGATGTGCTTTATGCCATGCCGGAGAAGCAGGAAGTTTGTCTTGTCATCAGCAAATGTTTACTCTCACACACAAACACATATATACAAAAATTTATACATATGTGTGTGTGTGTGCAAATGGACATGTGTTCTGTCCAGGCAAAATTAATTTCCTTTCATTTTGCCCTGCATTTTGTCCATTTCTATGCTCTTGGTCTATTTTATATGTTTGAAATGAATTATTTCGTTATCTTCTTAGTTTCAATTATAAGAGATTCTCCATTCACCCGTCCAACTAAATCTCCCGGGCCCCCATTTATGTGTTTGAGTTTCTATTTGCCCGAAAATTTGTTTGTGCCACACCAGATAGACTACAGATTTGCCATAGATTTAACAAGGCACTTTAGATTTTCATTATATCGTATCGTATTTTTGTGTGTTTGTCAGGCACAACATAACCAGAATATTTGAATTGGGTAATTAAAATTGAGACTCCGGTTGTTGGGGTTTTGTTAGCTAGTGTCAAGATTATTTGCAATTAATTAACCTATTTGTTTACAAAACTCTCACACACAGCCTCACTCACACATAATATTCCGATAAATGAGCAATGCCTCAAAGATAATTACAAGATTATATGGTAATGAATTTCAAAAGCCTATAATTATGTAGTTTGGGGAAGATTTTCAAAATCACCATCATCATCAGGGTGGAGAAATTTGTCAATACTAATTGGTTTATGAAATTATAGTTTGTAGTTCAATTAAAAGTTAGCTTGGAAATCTATGTGATGCAATTATTTTAATTAATTATAGTTAAAAGCAAGGTGATAGCCTGTTCTCTTAGCTTTCATTTGCCGTATAGTTTTAGGAAATATTCCAAAAATTGGGGAAGTTATGTGGCATTTAGCAAAAATACCCAATAATTAATATTAGTTATACGCAACGGGGTACCATTTTTTAAAAATGTAATTTCTTAGTGATTTTTTTGAATAATTGAAATTTTTAAAATGCTTTTCTGTACTTTGCGAATAGAGGTAAAATACAAAATTCATAATTTGAAAAATTTTTATATTTTTCATGGAATATTTCCTCAATTTAAATTTATCGCAAAATATTTTCTTAAAAAACATTTTTAGAGTCTGGATTTGGGGATGGATTTTTTTTTATATTTTTTAGGGAATTGTAACAGGGAGTAAATGCTTCTATGGAATCTTGGCTCTCATTTCCCACCTACTTTTTAAAAATATTCCAATAGTTGTAGGAGTTATGTCGGTTTTACTAAAATAACACATAATTAATATTAGTTATACGCCCCCTGGGCCAGATATTAAAAAATCCTTATTTTACTGCTTTCCTATGGAAAATTGTATTTTTATAAAACTTCTTCCTATACTTAATGATCATAGCTAAAATACAAAATTCTTAAACGAGAAAAAAAAGTTCTTCTGATGGTTTAAAGTAGTTTTCATTGATTTCCATTTTGAAATAAAATATTTTTCCAAAGTTTCTTCAAAAATCTCATTGAACTGTAAATTTATCGTATTTTCACCCCGAAGCAGTACAATACCACAAAGTCTTAGCTTTCATTTGCCATTGATTTCAAAAAAAATATTCCAATAATTGTAGGAGTTATACCCTTTTTACCAAAATAACCCATAATTAATATTAGTTATACGACCTGGGCTAAATATTCAAAATCCCTTATTTTACCACTTTCCCAAGGAAAATTGAATTTTTATAAAACATATTCCTATACTTTATGATCGTAGCTAAAATACAAAATTCTTAAAAGAGGAGAAAAGATTCTTCTGATGGTGAAAAATATTTTTCATTGATTTATATTTCGAAATAAAATATTTTTCCAAAGTTTCTTAAAAAATCTCATTGAACTGTAAATTTATCGCATTTTCATCCCGAAGCAATACGATACCACAGAGTCTTAGCTTTCATTTGCTATTGATTTCATAAAAATATTCCAATAATTGTAGAAGTTATGTCGTATTTACTAAAATAACCCATAATTAATATTAGTTATACGCCACCTGGGTTAAAAAAAATTCAAAATCCCTTATTTTACTACTTTCCTATGGAAAATTGCATTTTTATAAAACTTATTCCTATACCTTATGATCGTAGCTAAAATACAAAATTCTTAAAAGAGAAAAAAAATCCTCTGATGGTGAAAAATATTTTTCATTGATATATTTTTCGAAATAAAATATTTTTCGAAAGTTTCTTCAAAAATCTTATTGAATTGTAAAGTTCTCGCATTTTCACCCCGAAGCAGTACGATACCGCAGAGTCTTAGCTTTCATTTGCCATCAAGTTCATAAAAATATTCCAATATTTGTAGGAGTTATCGAATTTTTACTAAAATAACCCATAATTAATATTAGTTATACGCCCCCTGGGCCAAATATTAAAAATCCTTTATTTTACCACTTTCTTAATAAAAAATTAATCATTTTAAAATGTATTCCTATAATTTACGATCTCTGCTAAAATACAAAATTCTTAAAAGAAAAAAATTCTTAAATTTCTTATATATATTCTTATATATATATATATATATTTATTTTGAAATAATAAAATATTTTTTTTTTATTATTTTTCTCTTTACAGTTTATACATACGCTTTGAATCTACAGCCTTAAATCAATATGCTGCATACTATGAACACTAACTGGTAGCTGGATTAAAATTAATGTTTATAATCTCTCGAGTAGAAAGAACACCAACAACAACATGTATACTTATGATTTAATAATAAAGACTGATGATAATAATAATAATAATTTAAATAATCGAAACAATGTTGCCGCGTCAAATGTTGCTACACAATTTCAAGCTGCAATGTTGCCATGCAATTTTTCCCAAATTGCCATAGTGGCAGCAAGTAAATGAAGCTCACGCATCGCTGAGAGAGAAACGCAAAACAAAAAACTAGAAATAAAATTTAAATAATTTAAATAAAAAATAAAAAACAAAGCATATCCTAAATTTGGAATAAAGGATAATATTAAAAAAAAACAAAAGGAATTACAAATAATAATTAGCTGTAAATTAAAACAAGAAACAAAACAAAAAATAACTAGAAACATCCTGACAAACCTATCAAAATGCCGGGTGGTCGAAGAGGTTTAGTGGCTCCACAAAACACATTCCTGGAGAATATTATACGACGTTCCAACTCACAACGTAAGTAGAAAATTGCAATGTTTTTTTCAAAAATGAAATAAAATTATTTTATATAAATATTTAAAAGCAAAATAATTTTCAAATGTTTCTTTAAAAATCTTTATGACCAGTACATTTAGCAGGATATTAGTTAAAAACAATATGATTGTATAGACTCCTAGCTTTTATTTGCCACTAATTTTATTCAAATATTTTTATAACTGTAGGAGTTATTGAATTTTTACCAAAATAACCCCTAATTAATAGTAGTTATACGACCCATGGGCCAAATATTTAAAATTATGAATTTTCATTATTTTCCAAGGGAATTTTAAAAAATTTCAAATTTATTTTAACTCTCTAGTTTGGCTGCTAAATTGCAAAAAAATTCTGGATTTTTTTTTTAAAAAAATGGATTTTTTTTTGAAAAATTTTTTTTCGTATAGAAAAAAATGTGTTTCAAATGTTTTTCAAAAGTTATCTCAAAAATCTTTATGAACGGTACATTTCGATTGTTTTTGCCGAGAAGAAGTATTATTCTATGGACTCCTAGCTTTTATTTGCCACCAATTTTACAACGATATTCCAATAATTATATGAGTTATATGATTTTTACCAAAATAACCCATAATTAATATTAGTTATACGACCTATGGGCCATATATTTAAAATCATAAAATTTTATTGCTTTTCCAAGGAAATATACATTTTTTTCAAATTTATTTTCACTCCCTAGCTTGGCTGCTAAATAACAAAGATTATGTTTTAATTTTTTCCAATTTTTAATAATTTTTTTTGTTAATGAAGAAAATAATAAATTGTGTCCCAAATATTTTTCAAATGTTTCTTTAAAAATATGTATGAAAGGTACATTTCTTCGGATTTCACCCGAGAGCATAATGATTCAATAGACTCTTAGCTTTTATTTGCCCTTACTTTTATTAAAATATTCCAATAATTCTAGGAGTTATACAATTTTTACCAAAGTAACCCATAATTAATATTAGTTATACGGCCTATGGGACAACAATTTAAAATAATGGATTTTAATGATTTCCCAAGGGAATTTAAAATTTTTTTTATATTTATTTTCAGGCCCTACGTTGGCTGCTATATTGCAAGAAATATGTTCTGAATCACGTTTTCAAAAATTAAAATTTTTTATATTTTTTTCTTATAGAAAAAATAACAAATGTGTCCCAAATGTTTTTCAAAAAATTTGGCAAAAATCTTTACGAACAGTTCATTTTGTGGGACTTCATCCAATAACAATAAGAAACTATGGACTCTAAGCACTTATTTGCCACCACTTTAATGAAAATATTCAAATAATTGTAGGAGCTACACAAATTTTACCAAAGTAACCCGTAATTAAAATTAGTTATACGACCTGTGGGACAAATATTTAAAATATTATATTTTCTTGGGTTTCCAAGGGAATTTTAAATTTTTTGAAATTTATTTCAACTCCCTAGGTTGACTGCTAAATTATAACAAATACTTTCAGATTTTTTTTAATTCAAATATTTTATGGATTGTTTTTTATAGAAAAAAGAATAAAATGTGTCCCAAATGGTCTTAAAATGTTTCTTTAAAATTCTGTATGAACGGTACATTTCATGGGATTTCACCCGAAAGCATAATGATTGTATGGACTCTTAGCTCTTATTTGCCACCACTTTAATGAAAATATTCCTATAATTCTAGGAGTTATACAATTTTTACCAAAGTAACCCATAATTAATATTAGTTATACGACCTCTGGGCCAAATATTTAAAATTATGGATTTTAATCATTTCCCGTCGGAATTTAAAATTTTTTTAAATATTATTTTCACTTCCTAGATTAGCAAAAATACGTTCGGAATTTCTTTTTCAATAATGAAATGTATTTATTGATTATTTTTTTTCGTATAGACACAATAAAAAATGTTTCCCAAATAATTTTCAAAAGTTTCTGTAAAAATCTTTATGGACAGTACGTTTCGTTGGGTTTCACTCAGAAGCAGTAAGGTTCTATGGACTCTTAGCTTTTAGCTGTCATTACATTTAGTAAAATATTCCAATAATTATAGGAGCTATACAATTTTTCCCAAATTAACCCATAATTAATATCAGTTATACGACTTATGGGCCAAATATTTAAAATATTATATTTTCTTGGGTTTCCAAGGGATTTTTACATATTTTTAATTTTATTTCAACTCCCTAGCTTGGTATAGATTTAAAAATGGTATAGATTTTTTTTTATAGAAAAAAAAATTAAATATGTGTCCCAAAAGTTTCTTTAAAAATCTATACGAACGGTACATTTCGTGGTATTTTACCCAGAAGCACTAAGATTCTACGGACTTTTACCTTTTATTTGCCACCTCTTTAATTTAAATATTCCCATTATTGTAGGAGCTATACAAATTTTACCAAAGTAACCCATAATTAATATTAGTTATACGACCTATGGGGCAAATATTTAAAATTATGGATTTTCATTATTTTCCAAGGGAATTTTAAATTTTTTGAAATTCATTTCCACTCCCTAGCTTAACTGCTAAATTAAAAAAGTTATGTTTTAAATTTTTCCCCAAGAAAAAAAAATTGCAGGACAAATTTTCTTCGTAAAGAAAAACTGCGGGACAAAAAAATTTCCTAAAAAAAAGAGACAAATATTTTTCTGTTGGAAAAATTTTTGTGGTGCTTCCGTTACCCTTCTAGAACGAATTAATTGCTCCATTTGCTTCCTTTCTAAATAGAAAAACCACAATTTCTTGTTATCCTTATGTAGCAGCTGCTGCTGCTGGTGGTCCTCTCAGCTTGTTGTTCTGCTCTGGCATGATTTATGTTGGGACCCAGATAAATCTCAATATTTTTCTTGTTAAACAATTTGCTTATCTAAATTTTTTCTCTTCGTTTTTGTTGTCATAATAAATGACGGGTTTTTGTGGTCAAACACCTCTCTACATGTTCTTCACAGGACATGGGCATGGTGGGAAAGGACATTGCCGTGAAATCAATTTCTACGAAAGTGTGTTAAAGCCTTTGGAATTTGTTGTCTTTTGTCGTGATGTTTGGTGGCCCCCAGATTTTTATGTTTTTTTCCCCCATCTCAAAGCTGGCCACAAAAATGTTTTCATTTAATGCTGTCGTGTGGTGTTCGAATGCTAATAATAGGAGGAGGAGGTGGAGCGGAGATGAGGACTTCAAAAGGACTTTGATGTTGTTGCTGTTATCAGCAGGCCAGCCATTGAAAATCACTCAATACTAGGTTAATTCATGGCAATCTAGAGATATATATGTCTATGTGTGTGTGAATGTGTATTGGTGTGTGAGTGTGAATATTTGTGTGGCCAATTGTGGCTAAAAGGCAGAAAATGGCTTTCGTTCAATGCCAAATGGGATTGTAAAAATTTATCGCCATTATAGCCCAGCAAAAAATTCCAGGGGGAATTTCTTAAAAGCAGGCTAATGGGCAAAAGGCAGGATTTGAAACTGAAGCGACCGAGAGAGTAGCTTTAAATTTGATATTGCATTTTCTATGAAACTTTATAAAATTTTTCAAAAGAGATTTAAAATAAAATTTCGGTTTTGTGGTCATGTTGATGCTGGTTATAAATTTATGCCACATATACATATTTAAAAAAAAAAAACAAAAAAATAAACCACAATGACTAGCACTACCACATAGTAAACCACAATACATATACAAGAGTATGCATATATGTATGTGTGACTGTTTTTCAAACATTCGAAGCCTTAATTTTGATTTTGGGTTTCGTTCCAAATTTTTTTTTCTGCCTCTACCCTGCACTTATATGACATTGATGCCCTGCACTCACAAGGTGCAACAATGGCCTTCTCCTACCGTCCGTTCCGCTCCACTCTTCTCCACTGCAGTTGGCTGTCAATGGATGATGCTGATGACGATGATAAATCAACAGTGTTGCAGTTCAAGTCTTTGGTGGTTTGGGTTGATGGTTTTTGCGGATAACCACATGAGGTTTATGAATAATATTTATTGTTCTTGCGAAAAAAGTAACAATCGTTTATGCCACATGGAAAAAAATGACACACACACATGAATGGGGTACACAAGCGCAATGGTGAACTTTTTTGGTTGATGATGATGGCAAAAGTTTACATTACTTTTGGTAAATAAAATAAAAAACTACGATACGGGTTGAAGGATAAATTTTACTTGTAATTTTTATTTAAAGGCAAAGTAATTTTTACTCAAAAAAATTTGAGAAATAATTTTGTTTCCAAAAAAGTCAAATGAAAATTTTTGTCACAAAATATTTTTCAAAAGTTTTCGCAAAAATCTCTATGAACAGTACATTTTATAGGTTTTTATCCAAAAGAAATAAGATTCTGTAGACTCTTAGCTTTTATTTGCCACTACTTTCATTTAAATATTCCCATAATTGTAGAAGTTATAGCATTTTTACCAAAATAACCCATAATTAATATTAGTTATACGACCTATGGGACAAATATTTAAAATCATGGATTTTAAGGAGTTTCCAAGGGAATTTAAAATTTTTTTTAATTATTTTCACTCCCTATACTTGCCTCTAAATTACAAGAAACACTTTCTGAATTTATTTTTAAAAAAATTCAAATTTTTCGAAGAAAAAAATTTTTGTTAGGAAAAAATAAAAAATGTGTCCCAAATGTTTTTCAAAAGTTTTTGCCAAAATCCTTACGAACAGTACATTTTGTGGGATTTCATCCAGAAACAATAAGATTCTATGGACTCTAAGCTCTTATTTGCCACCACTTTGATTAAAATATTCCCATAATTGTAGGAGCTATACAAATTTTACCAAAGTAATCCATAATTAATATTAGTTATACGACCTATGGGACAAATATTTAAAATCATGGATTATAATGACTTTCCAAGAAAATTTCATTTTTTATAATTATTTTCACTCCCTAGACTTGCCTCTAAATTACAAGAAACACATTCTGAATTTATTTTAAAAAATTCAATTTTTTTTCAAAGAAAAAAAATTTTTAGGAGA